TTTTTTTGTCGACTTTGAAAAAAACAGATCAACAAAAAAAAAAATAAAAATAAAAAAAAATTCAATAAATTATTTTTAAAAAAATGGCTCTTTTTTGTACCACATTCATATATTTAGATTTACGATTAAAATTTAATGCGTCTGTATTATTACGCCACCAATGTATAGTGAAAGTGAAGAAATAATAGCATCAACGACACCGATAATAAGATTCATCTTGTATAAAATCAGTCATAAAATATGTTTCTAAAGTAGCTGTCAACAAGAGTTAATCTTTATACTATCTTCAATCAAAAACAGAAAAAGAAAAAGAAATTTAAAATTTAAAACTTGATATATCCATAGCGGGAGAAAAATGAGGTCCAAAAAAAGCTTTAATTGTATCAACGGTTTGTTGCGGAAATGAACGGGTTAACATCGATAATCAGATGTTGTTTGTGTAAATATACGAGTTTGCGAGTGTGTAGATGCATCTGTGTTTATCTGTGTGAAATGTGCCCCAGCGAATGCTGTAAATCCCCTTTAAAAGATCAGTTTAGAAACATAATGAAACAATCGTAACAATAAAAGGTATGACCTAAATACTGAAAGGATTGTTTGGCATTGCCCCTTTAATTCTGCACTTTTAGGTGCTATTTACACTCAAATTCAAACCCGTCAAAAAAATTTCCGCTAGACACTTTTTAAACTTTTACTACACATTTTTTTTACCTTTTCATGACGCTTTTTGTTCTTCCACCATCATTCTTGTCCGCTGTCAAACAGTTGAGACAGTTAGCGGGGGTGATGAAATGGGCGTTGAAGAAATGAGAGGAAAGATAAAAAAATAAAAATTCTAACTTCTTTATCCAGATAAACAAGTTTTCTCGACAGAAAATGTTTTCAATTTTTATTTTTTATTTTTGTTTAAAGCAAAACGAAAAACAAGGTGTTGGTTAACAGAAAAAAAGAATATTTCAAGTAGTCCACAAATTAAACAAATACAACTGTAGTGGACATTAGAAATGTTTTGTTCTTTGAAAAAACTGCGAATATTCGTTTTTATAAAAAAGAAAAAAAAAGAAACCTGAAACGGTCAATTAGTACTCTGAATCAACCACAAAATGTTCTGCAGTTGAATGATTTCAATAAAAAACTGATCAAGAAAAATTTTTGAAAAAAAAACTTTGTAATTCTGTTCATATGACTGACCACTTAGTCAGACAGGCGCTTTGACAACACATTTTTGGTTCAACATACTATACATGATACACACCAAAAGGTCAACAGCGGTCATTTTTGCTGTATATGAGACAAGGTTATTTTAGGCATAGTGATGAGTAGTAACACAGCAAACGATAACTGTATTAGAAACCAATTGAGGACCAACAGACAAACATGGAGCTACTGTTGTCGGTATAACCAGCTGGCTTCTCAGCTTTGATACAGCTTAGCACAAAAATATAAAATGTAAAAAAAAACAATGCTAATAAAGACCTTACGATTTTTATAACCAAAATTTCTATTACCATTACATCCTCAATTGTCCTTACTATTCTTTAATATCATTTTAAAAAAAAGCAGTAGCAATGTCTTTGGTTTAAATAATCACTGCGGAAGAGAGGTTGATCGCCATCAGCAGAGTTTAAATCGACAGCAAATAGGGTAGTCTGAGGAATTACGGCACTGATGCGTACACAGTGCTGTAGCCCAAAAATGCAGTAACCGGAAACCAATGATGAAAAATCGTAATTTACTGTTTCTTTATACAAATTTTATCCATCAAAAACGAGAAAAAAATGAAACAGCTGTAACAATCAACCAAAACAAATTGCTAAGTGAAAATAAAGTAATTATCACAGAAGAAGAAAACAAATAGACAAATGTAAACATAATTTCCTATTGCGCATCAGACATATGTAAATTTTTCGTTTTTTTACTATGAACAGCAATCATCTAATCGTCTCACTGTACTTTAATAAATTAACTAACTTTTAATTATATGCCATCATACCTTTGCAAATGTGATAAAAAAAGAAAAAAACGCAACAAGGAAACAATAAGTTTTGGTCAACATATCAAATAAATTGGTCAATAAGAAAGATCGCTTGAACTCGCTTAAACTTTAGGGTTTTCCCACATACATGCAACGTATCTAAATCTGAACAATATACCATTGTCATATTCAACACCCAACCGACTAATTACTTGCTAAACTCTCGCTCAATCTACCTTAATTCACTTCGTAGCCTTTTATCTTCTTCTTCTCCATATTCCAGTCCTCATTACATACTTTGGTTTTTCTAAATAATCTGCCGGCTCCTACATATCCCTTTTTTTCTTGCATTTCGAAAAACCGCAGCTCAGTAAAAGCAAAAAAAAAACTCCAATAGAAAATTTTGTCCAATTATTTGCATTTAATAAATTAAAAAATAAATGAAAGACTTTCTTCTTTTCCGCCAGAAGAAATCCTCGAAAACAAATCACATTTTGAAAACACAAAAAAAAAAAAATGAAATGAAATAAAACTGAAAGTTCTTTCGTGTTAAAAATAACTGACGTGGACAACCCCATCTCAGATGTTAAACGGCTTTTCAGATCCGGATTTCACATCTGGCATCCTGAAGTTCATTCAGCCACTGATAATGACAGATATCAAAAACGGTGACCATTACAACTCAAGAAATGTTTCATCGTCAAACAGTATAGTACAGAGAGATGATAGATAGATGATAATGTACATTTGCAGTGTCACCAAATACTTTTTTTACTGCCGATGCAGGCCATAGTTTACAAAAAAAAAAAAAAAGAAAAAAAAAGCTTCATAAAACGTGTATCCTTTAAAATAGTCTATGTCCCGCATTACAGTAGAAAAAAATGTGGACAAAGTTTAAAGTCTGCAGACTGTTTTTTTTTTTTTTTTAAATATATATTTAAACCATCTATCAACGTTTTAGCTACCAACGATTGTATTGACGAAAACGTAACTAATCAAAGTATCATTAAAGACGAATGAGCGAAAAGTTATCGGATATTTCAATGGCAGATTGCAACAGTAAATCTACAGATATCAACTAATTTTTCAACTGCCCGTAATTGACAGCCACTAAGAACAACTTTTTTGACATACTCACAGATATGAAAGAAAAAAAAGATAAATTAAAAAAAAAGAAGAATAAATAAATCACAAACAAACAAACAGAGAAGTTACAACAAATAAAAAAAACTTAAAATTTTTTATTTTATTCTTTTATCCATCCATCCATCCAATACGAAAATTATTTGAGCGAAAAATTCAATTTTAGTAAACTCAAAAATGATTTGTTACGTAAAAAAAATATAGAAGTATTTTTTTTTTTTGTTGATGATGAATAGGAATTAAAAATCATGAAACTCTTGAAGCCATCGTTGACCATCAATTTTAAAGCAAAAAAAAAAGAAAGAAGATAGTCAATTGAGAGACAGCGACGACGACGATGACGAAGAAGAGGGATAAGAAGAGGATGAAGATGACGACGATGACGATGACGATGACGACCACAATGAAGCAAACTGTGGTAAACCAAAATGAATGAAAGATCAAAAAACTGATGCTGAACACGACTATGAATTTGGAACTAAAAACCTCACTTAAAAGACAACTATGTCTAAGGATCTAAAATGCACTTCAGATTTACGTACGACTTTCCGTCATCTGTTTTCTTCTTCTGAATTTACATAAATCAGA